TTTCACGCTCGGTGTGCACGAGGGCTATGTGGGCTTAAACACGTCATCGGGGGATGGGGAGCCATCCATGAAGACTTTAGGTGGCAAAATCCTCAGCCAGCCCGGATCATAGAAGCAAAGACATGAAATGTAATATATTTACAGATTATTCATCCCTAATAGTGCGTCTTGGAGTTAGAATTCCCAGCATCCTCTCCAGGGTGCGATTCCTTCCCACAGTTGTCAGTGGCCCGATTCCGGGGTAAGAAACGTGTCTGTGGCCCCCATAGATCACAATGTCGCACAGGAAGCTCCTTCTCTTCCCCTCCCCCCCCCCCTCTGTATATCCACATGTACGATGGAAGCTTGCCGTATCAGAGAGTCCTGAACCAACATGGCCGTGCTGAGGTCACCATTAAATTCGGTTGTCCTGATTGGATACAAAATGATTCAGCTGACGCCATCCCGGCCCACCTCTTCCATTAAGTGGAAGCGTTCGACCACGCAGTGCGCCGTCAGTCGGGCCTCCGGGTCGTGGTCCCAGCACTCGGCGATCGTGTCGCACAGAATTTCCATTCCCTGGAAGGAGAAAACCACAATAAGGCCGGATTCACGCTGGAACGTAGCGTCTGACAAAACACGCAAAAAAGAAAAGCTCACACACTATTTTTTTTTTTTGCATTTTTCAGGCGTTTTGAGCTTTTTGATTTTTGTTGCATCATTTGTTGCTAGGTGTTTCAGCTTTTATTTCTTTTGTTGTTATAATTCAGTTTTTTTTGTTTTTCTTAGGGTGTTCATAAAAAATAATAAATAAATTTAAAATTGATAAAAACATAAACACCCTTTTAAATTTTTTTATATATGTATGTATGCATATATGTGTGTGTGTGTGTGTATATATATATATATATATATAAAATTATAATTTAATTATTTTTTCAGGTTTGGGTGTTTATTATAATATTATTATTCATTATTCATAATTTATTTTATTTAATTTTGTAGGGTTGGGGGGGGTCATGTTAGGTGTAATTATTACAAATTATGAATCTATTATTTATTTATGGTCATCTTTATTCTGTCTTTATTATACATGTATTTAAAATATATATATATATATATATATATATATATTTTTTTTTTTTTTTTTTTTTTTACATAATTTCATTTCAGTAGAAAAATGCACGAACACAAATTGCGTGTTTTTCTTTTTTGCGTGTTTTGTTGCATTATTTTTTTTTAATTTTTTTTTTTTTTTTAATAAATGTAAAATTGATAAAACCATAAATAAACACCCTTTAAAAAAAAATTATATATGTGTGTATATATATATATATATATATATATATATATATACAGTCAGGTCCATAAATATTGGGACATGGACACAATTCTAACATTTTTGGCTCTATACACCACAATGGATTTGAAATGAAACGAACAAGATGTGCTTTAACTGCAGACTGTCAGCTTTAATTTGAGGGTATTGACATCCAAATCAGGTGAACGGCGTAGGAATTACAACAGTTTGCATATGTGCCTCCCACTTGTTAAGGGACCAAAAGTAATGGGACAATTGGCTTCTCAGCTGTTCCATGGCCAGGTGTGTGTTATTCCCTCATTATCCCAATTACAATGAGCAGATAAAAGGTCCAGAGTTCATTTACAAGTGTGCTATTTGCATTTGGAATCTGTTGCTGTCAACTCTCAAGATGGATCCAAAGAGCTGTCACTATCAGTGAAGCCATCATTAGGCTGAAAAAACAAAACAAACCCACCAGAGAGATAGCAAAAACATTAGGCGTGGCCAAAACAACTGTTTGGAACATTCTTAAAAAGAAGGAACGCACCGGTGAGCTCAGCAACACCAAAAGACCCGGAAGACCACGGAAAACAATTGGGTGGATGAGCGAAGAATTCTTTCCCTGGTGAAGAAAACACCCTTCACAACAGTTGGCCGGATCAAGAACACTCTCCAGGAGGTAGGTGTATGTGTGTCAAAGTCACCAATCAAGAGAAGACTTCACCAGAGTGAATACAGAGGGTTCACCACAAGATGGAAACCATTGGTGAGCCTCAAACACAGGAAGGCCAGATTAGAGTTTGCCAAACGACATGTAAAAAAGCCTTCACAGTTCTGGAACAACATCCTATGGACAGATGAGACCGACATCAACTTGTACCAGAGTGATGGGAAGAGAAGAGTATGGAGAAGGAACTGCTCATGATCCTCAGCATACCACCTCATCAGTGATCATGGTGGTGGTAGTGTCATGGCGTGGGCATGTATGGCTGCCAATGGAACTGCTTCTCTTGTATTTATTGATGATGTGACTGCTGACAGAAGCAGCCGGATGAATTGTGAAGTGTTTCGGGAATATTATCGGCTCATATTCAGCCAAATGCTTCACAACTCATTGGACGCTTCACAGTGCAGATGGACAATGACCCAAAGCAGACTGCAAAAGACACCAAAGAAGTGGAATGTTCTGCAATGGCCAAGTCCATCACCTGACCTGAATCCGATTGAGCATTTCACTTGCTGAAGACAAAACTGAAGGGAAAATGCCCCAAGAAACAAGCAGGAACTGAAGACAGTTGCAGTAAAGGCCTGGCAGAGCATCACCAGGGATGACACCCAGCGTCTGGTGATGTCTATGCGTTCCACACTTCAGGCTGTCATTGACTGCAAAGGATTTGTAACCAAGTATTAAAAAGTGAAAGTTGGATTTATGATTATTATTCTGTCCCATCACTTTTGGTCCCTTAACAAGTGGGAGGCACATATGCAAACTGTTGTAATTCCTACGCCGTTCACCTGATTTGGATGTAAATACCCTCAAATTAAAGCTGACAGTCTGCAGTTAAAGCACATCTTGTTCGTTTCATTTCAAATCCATTGTGGTGGTGTATAGAGCCAAAAATGTTAGAATTGTGTCCAATGTCCCAATATTTATGGACCTGACTGTATATATGAGAGTGTATGTGTGTGTATATATATATATATAACTATAATTTAAAAAAAAAATTCAGGTTTGGGTGTTTATTATTATTATATTTATTATTATTCATTATTATTCATAATTTATTTTATGTATTTTTGTAGGGTTGGGGGGGGGGGGGTCATGTTAGGTGTAATTATTACAAATTATGAATCTACTATTTATTTATGATTATTCTGTCTTTATTATACATTTATTTAAATATATATATATATATATATTTTTTTTTTTCTACATAATTTCATTTCAGTAGAAAAAAACGCGTGAATCCCCGCAAATTGCGTGTTTTTTTTTTTTTGCGTGTTTTGTCGCACATTTTTGTTTTCGTGTTTTTTTCAGGCGTTTTTGAGCTTTTTGTTGCTAGGTTTTCCAGCTTTAATTTATTTTTTTATTGTATTTAATTTTTTTTTTTTAGTTAGGGTGTTAATAAAAATAATAAATGAAATAAATGTAAAATTTATAAAAACATAAACAGAATAAATGAATAATATTTAACTGCTAACCCTTTAAAAAAAAGGTGTGTGTGTGTGTATATATATATATATAATTTAATTATTTTTTTTCAGGTTTGTGTGTTTCTTATTATAATAATTATTATTATTCATATATGTATGTATATGTGTGCGTACATATTATAATTTCATTTTTTTTTCAGGTTTGGGTGTTTATTATTAAATAAATCACTCGGCAATTTATAACCTCAATAAAATTCATATAGTGAATATCCAACTTCTAATTCCGAGAAAAAAGTCCCACTTGCACCCTTGAAAGCAAATACTAATCTTCAAAACCTTTTTCTTTATCCTTAGCCCAAATTATTAAATCAAACCATAAAATTAAATATAAATATATAATCCAAAATAAATTAATCCAGTCCTACAAAATCTCTCAATCCTGTGTGTCCAAATCCAATATTTCCATCACTCCGGAGCCAGTGAGTACCTCGAAAAAAAAATGAAACTAAAATAGTGTATTACCTTCGAAACAAACAAGTGTATACTATAATCTGTGCAAAAATAAAATAGATTCAACTGTGAGAAACACGTGAATCGTGCAAAATCACACTATAAATAAATAAAATCAATGAAATAAAATACAATCCTATATAAAATAAATAATAAACAAACCAAATCAATTATAAATTAATTTTAAACATAAAATAAATTAAATGAATTTAAGTTAAATTAAAGTTTTTTATTATTTTTATTATAATATTATTATTCATAATTTATTTCATTTTTTTTTTAAGGTGGGGGGGGGGGGGGGGGGGGGTCATGTTAGGGGTAATTATTACAAATTATGAATTATTTATTTATGATTATCTTTATTTCGTCTTTATTATACATTTATTTAAATATATAACTTTTTTTTTTTTTTTTACATTATTACATTTCAGTAGAAAAACGCACGAACACCCGCAAATTGCGTGTTTTTTTAATTTCCATGGAAATAAAACGCTCACGACTGAGCTCGAGCAGATCGGCCCGATTTGAGCAGCAAAAAAAAAAGCTCCGGAACTTGTTTGGCTTTTTGGATTGGCGCTTTATTTATGTGAAAAACATGATATAAATGTGTTTTTGGTTCAGTGTTGCATGATTGCACAATTGTCAAAGTGCGACAGAGCTGAAAATTGGCCTGGGCAGGAGGGGGGGGTAAAGTGCCTGGTATTGAAGGGGTTAAAGCACCGTTTGCTTAACACTGTGAACATGCTTACAGGCAGGAAGGGGGAAATGATCTAACTGGTGTGCTGCTGTTCCTCTTTCTCCAATCACAGGCTGGGGGGGGGCGGTGTCCTTGGCCATGTTCCATTGCTTAACTGCAACGTAGTCAGCAGGTGGCCCAAGAGCTGGGTGTTCGGTAGGGCTTTCCTGAACCATGTGACTGGCTGAACCGGATTACAGGTCATATATACAGTTTTATCTATACATTTGGCTGTTTATGTGGAGATTGGCTCACCGGATCTCTCCGCCAGGAGTCGGGAAATGTCCGGCCGTCCTCTTCCGTGTAGCACAACGTCCCTCATGGTCTCCACACACGGATGTTCCTGAACCATCGAGCAAACGGCAGCTCATAGCTCTTCACCTCTGCCGAAAAGAATTACCAGTCAAGAAGTAGGAAGAGTAGTCCGTCCGTCCGTCCCCACCCACCCAAGGGAGGGGGATTGACGGACTACTCTGCCCCTTCCATCTTGTATATCATTAAGTAACACTCTATGGGGGGGGGGGGGAGATCCCCATTATTTGTTGCCCATATATGGAGGTTCCAAAGCCATCTTGGTGCAAACAATTCCCACCACTCAACCCAAGGTGACCATACACAGATAGACTCCTGATAGCCGCCCTTCCAATACGTATCGCAGGGCGGTGCTTGTAGGAGGGATCGCAAATATGCTCTGATAATCACAGGATAAAAGTTACAGACGTAGCTCCACCCTTACGCGTGTCGGCCCCAACACAATTCATTTCAAACTTCCGTATCCAATGAATCGCTCGACAATACAGCTGCAAATGTAGTCGCATGAGCGGGAGTGCGGCTATAGAAACACAAATTCAGCGCGGCATATCGGCGCACAATGATACATGAAAGGAATTCAAATTGTAGATACAAATTCAATGTGACTACAAAAGGAGAAATGCGTAAATGGGGGGCTATTATGTAACTTTTATTCCTGTGATTAACTTCTTCCAGTCCGGACACTTTCCCCCCCTTCCAGTCCGGACACTTCCCCCCCCCCCCCCCCCCCCCTTCCAGTCCGGACACTTCCCCCCTTCCAGTCTGGACACTTTCCCCCCCTTTCCAGTCCGGACACTTTCCCCCCCCTTCCCCCCCAGTCCGGACACTTTCCCCCCCCCCCCCCCCCCCCCTTCCAGTCCGGACACTTTCCCCCCCTTCCAGTCCGGGCACTTTCCCCCCCCTTCCAGTCCGGGCACTTTCCCCCCCTTCCAGTCCGGACACTTTCCCCCCCTTCCAGTCCGGACACTTTCCCCCCCTTCCAGTCCGGACACTTTCTTTCCCCCCTTCCAGTCCGGACACTTTCCCCCCCTTCCCCCCCTTCCCCAGTCCGGGCGCTTTCCCCCCCTTCCAGTCCGGGCGCTTTCCCCCCCCTTCCAGTCCGGACGCTTTCCCCCCCTTCCAGTCCGGACGCTTTCCCCCCTTCCAGTCCGGGCGCTTTCCCCCCCTTCCAGTCCGGACAGTTTCCCCCCCTTCCAGTCCGGACACTTTCACACCCCTTCCAGTCCGGACACTTTCCCCCCCTTCCACTTTCCCCCCTTCCGGACACTTTCCCCCCCTTCCAGTCCGGACACTTTCCCCCCTTCCAGTCCGGACACTTTCCCCCCCTTCCAGTCGGACACTTTCCCCCCTTCCAGTCCGGACACTTTCACCCCCCTTCCAGTCCGGACACTTTCCCCCCCTTCCAGTCCGGACACTTTCACCCCTTCCAGTCCAGACCAATTTTCAGCCTTCAGCGCTGTCACACTTTGACAATTGCGCGGTCATGCAACACTGGACCCATATGAATTTTTTTGCATTGTTTTGAGACAGATAAAACTTTATTTTGGTGGTATTTATTCACTGCTGGGATTTTTTATTTTTTTTTGCTATATAAATGAAAAAGTCCAAAAATTTTGAAAAAAAAGTGTTTTTCTTATAACATTCTGCAAATAAATAATCTTTCTGCATAAATCTCGTCCAAAATGTATTCCGTTTATCTTTTTAGTAGAAAGAAAATAACCCAAATTAGTTTATAACCAAAAATAATTTTTCAAAATTTTTTTTTTTATATATTTATGTTTTTGGTTTTTTTTTACATACAGTCACCCTAGCAGTGTGGGGTCACCATGGTTACACTGTACTACTTTTGGGGGTGATGATTTTTTTTTTTTTTTTTTTTTTTACACTGATTGCTTTTACACTCATAAAGGCTGTAAAAGCAATCATTTCTCCTTCTCTGTCTGCATTCTTGCAACCATTGAGAAATACTGTGTGAGCTGTGATTGGTCACAGCTTGTCACATGGTACAAGGCAGTTGTGAATGGCCCGGTACCATGTGATCTCAGTGATCACTCACAGATTTCACACTTAGTAAGCAATGATGTCACAAGTGATATCGTGCTTACTATTCTGCATGTGATCACTGATTGGCCAATCAGTAATCACATGATCGGGACCTCGCACAGAGCTCCTGTACAGGGAGCGGACACAGCGGGTACCGGAACGCAGGGGTAAGCAATCTGCAGCTCTCTAGCTGTTGTGGAACTACATTTCCCATGAGGCATTGCAAAGATTACAAAACTGACAGTTCCAGCTATGACTTGCAGAGGCATGATGGGACTTGTAGTCCTGCGGCTCTCAGGTTGCCTACCCCTGGGTTAAAGCATATCTGGGATCCCTCGTGCGAGTGCCGTCCTGCGATACAACCTTGAGGGCGGGTGCAGCTTCTACAGTGTTCACAATTACAAATCAAACCGGGACTTTTGAGTTTATATAACAAAAGAACTGCATTTGTTTTCCGGCATCCTCCCCTGCTACATTTCTACACTTATCCCAGCCTGGAAAGCTCCGGCATGGAAAGATTTGTCGGTACGCCGGAACCATCCTGGGACATCCGGCTTCACCTCCTCATCGTTGTGGTCACCGTTCCCACAGAAAGATTCGTTTCTCGTACAATGTCACGATCGATGATCCAGGATCAGGCGTTCCACGCGCTGAATGTTCACAGGAATGACTGCTGTGGGCCGGGAACCGCCATGGCCGGGATGGTCACTGACGGATGGACGGCCATCTTTGAAACATTCCCACCATTCAGATGTCTTCCTGCGGCCGAGCGTCTCATCGCCGTACTGCGCTTGAAGTCTTCTGTAGATATCGGTGGGATTTACGCCTTCGTTCACAAGAAACGTCATCCCCACACGCTGCTCCACGCACGCACCAACGCCGCTGTCCGCCATCTTGAATAATGGTCTCTGGACTGGCCCGCCACATGTGCGCCCCCTATCAGTAATAGGACACACTGCCACTTACTACTACGTGTAGCACCGCCACACCGGCATCCCTTATATACCTGGAGAATGAAAAGTCCCGGACTGACTTCAGATTGACATCGTATTCAGAGAGTGGTGGTTAATGATTCATACTCTGAGTGGTCAGGGGGTGTCAGTGGGGTACCCCAAGGTTCAGTGTTATTAGTGGTGTACCCCACTAATCACAGGTCATCACACAGGTCATCACAGGTCACAGAGGACACAGGTCATCACAGGTCACAGAGGACACAGGTCACAGAGGACACTCATCACAGGTCACAGAGGGAGGTCACAGAGGACACAGTCAAAGGTCACAGAGGACACAGGTCACAGAGGACACAGGTCATCACACAGGTCATCAAGGTCACAGAGGACAAGGGGGGGTTTACTTCTGGAGGAAAAGAAATGTAATCTCCAAACACGGAAAGGTTTCTTCACAGTAAGAGCTGTGAGAATGTGGAATAGACTCCCTCAAGAGTTGGTTGTGGCCCAATTCTGGATCCTTGCCCTGGGTGCTGGATGACTCTGTCCCGGTACTACGTGTCACACTTAGGCAATCCAATCGGTTACACGAGATCCCACCAGCAAAAATAAATAAACAACCCATCTCTTTTTTTGGATGGGACAGGTCATAGAACATACAATATAAAGAGTACCCTGGGCTGCTGATAGGGGAGTACAGGCAGTACTGCTGCACCGGGCCCATTCAGGTCAGCAAGGGGTTCTAGAGCAGTGTCAAAGAGGGCCCTATGATTTCTGATGGCAGTGCTGCCTTTTCCTGGTGGTAGATTATATTGGGTAGTCCGTGTGCATGGGGCAGTCGGGACCCCTGTAGCTCCTCTGAGCTCATTTTCTCAGGCTCCTTCACCTGGCACTGCCCAATCTTCAAGCTTCAAACACAGCCGGAGCTCCAGTGAGCAGTAAACAAGGCAACCAGAAGCTGGCATTGACCGTGAGGAACCCAGCAAGGCCTGACCAGGGGATGGTGGGAAGAAGACTTGGGTGAGAACTATGGGGGAACAGCTGGTACTGTATGAATGGATGGAGTGTGACGGGTACAGGGCCCCATGATTTTTGATGGTGACCCTCGGTTTACTTACCAGCTGGATGGTACAAAACGTCAAAACTGTTTGCATTAAAAAAAAAGAGGTCTTGGTTGCATGCGTTTACAAATACAAAGACGCCACACCACCGTGCTAAGGCCCCTCTACAAAGTGCGGTTCCAAACTCCTGGGACATGCATAGTAATGAGTACATTGAGAGCAGGTATGCCTTGGAGGCAGCCCATGCCTCGTAAAAGTTGCCAGAAGATGGGACAACCTCCAAGGAACACCTCTTAATTTACTCATGCTCATGAGTGTAAGCTCTTTGGTACAGCCTATTCTGGTATCTAATTCCCATCTGTAGGGGGCTGGGGGAACATTCTGTATAAAATACAAGGTACATGCATGTAGATCCTCACCTCCAATGGCGTCACACCTAGATGCCACTTCCCACAGGACCAGAGACAGCGAGTACACATCCATCTGCTTGAAGGACTCGAGGTCTTCCAGATTCACCCGAGACTCCAGAACTTCGGGGGCCATATATCGCGCGGTGCCAACCTGAGAAGTGCATGGAATATTATACACTGGGCCCTCAGGATGCATCTCCTCAGCTTGTGGTTCAAGGGTGTTGTTAGGGCCCAAAAGACTCGGGGTACACTTAGGAACACTTAGGGTATAAAGCGGCAGAGTGAAGAGGACTTTTTTTGTTCTTTTTTTTGCCTCTCTTTGCTCTCCCTCCTTTTTATCTGTCCATTATTCTTCCTCTCCTATATGTCTGTGAAGGCTTTTCATTTATCCAAGTCATGGTCTAGGTGGTGGTCATTAGCAGATTGCCTACAACTGAAAAGGGACAACCCTTTGAGGACAGCAAGGTGGACATTTTGGAGAGAGAGGACAATAGGTGTGAAAGAGGCCATCTATGTCATACTGGACCAACCATCACTGAACAGGAATGGAGGCCTTCCGTACCATCTGTCTTCCACACTTAATGCTGTTTCAGCATCTCTACCTCAGTCATTTGACAGCAATTTACAATGATCAACACCTGTGCAGACTTCCTGACACCAAGAATGGGATTTGGTACCTAGAACAAGGAGGTTCCACAGTGGTCATATCTCCCATCCTGTTCTTGGAAATCAACATCTGCCTTGGCACCTTCTATAGTGACTGGATGAGGTGTTGGTTCTACCTGAAGATATAAGTACTGGTTATGTTCCTATTACTCAATAGCCATGAAGAAGTGGATTGGAGACGCCACGAGACGGCTTCAACATCACAGACCAAGTCCAGTTGACTATTACTAGGGTATTCCTCTCCCGTGGTGACTCGAGTATTTCCTACACCAAGGTACAGAAACAGTTCATATTCCTGCTGTTTTACCTACAGCAGGGGTCTCCAAACGTCTAAACAAAGGACCAGATTACTGTCTTTACGGGGGGCCAGATTGTAACCAGTGGCAGTAGAAAATTTCCCCAGCATCAATAGGAGTAAACAATGTCTCAGGCTGGGTGGGGAGTGGGAGTAAAAAAAAAATTACATAGCATCTGTGGTAAGATGGAGAATGAATAGTGCCCCATCATTGGTGTCGGTGGGAGGAATAGTGCCCCATCATTGGTGTCGGTGGGAGGAATAGTGCCCCCTCATTGGTGTCAGTGGGAGGAATAGTGCCCCATCATTGGCGTCAGTGGGAGGAATAGTGCCCCATCATTGGTGTGAGTGGGAGGAATAGTGCCCCATCATTGGTGTCAGTGGGAGGAATAATGCACCATCATTGGTGTCAGTGGGAGGAATAATGCACCATCATTGGTGTCAGTGGGAGGAATAGTGTCCCATCATTGGTGTCAGTGGGAGGGCACCATCATCAGTGGGAGGAATAATGCCCATCATTGGTGTCAGTGGGAGGAATCGTGTCCCATCATTGGTGTCAGTGGGAGGAATAGTGCCCCATCATTGGTGTCAGTGGAGGAATAGTGCCCCATCATTGGTGTCAGTGGGAGGAATAGTGCCCCATCATTGGTGTCAGTGGGAGGAATAGTGTCCCATCTTTGGTGTCAGCGGGAGGAATAGTGCCCATCATTGGTGTCGAGTGGGAGGAATAGTGCCCCATCATTGGTGTCAGTGGGAGGAATAGTGTCCCATCTTTGGTGTCAGCGGGAGGAATAGTGCCCCATCATTGGTGTCAGTGGGAGGAATAGTGTCCCATCATTGGTGTCAGTGGGACGAATAGTGTCCCATCATTGGTGTCGGCGGGACGAATAGTGTCCCATCATTGGTGTCGGTGGGAGGAATAGTGTCCCATCATTGGTGTCGGTGGGAGGAATAGGTCCCATCTTTGGTGTCAGCGGGAGGAATACTGTCCCATCTTTGGTATCAGTGGGCGGAATAGTTCCCATCATTGGAGTCAGTGGGAGGAATAGTGCCCCATCATTGGTGTCAGTGGGCGGAATAGTTCCCCATCATTGGAGTCAGTGGGAGGAATACTGCCTCATCTTTAGTGTGAAGAGGAATAGTGGCCCATCATTGGTGTCAGTGGGAGGAATAGTGCCCCATCATTGGTGTCAGTGGAAGGAATAGTGTCCCATCATTGGTGTCAGTGGAAGGATTAGTGTCTCATTGTTGGTGTCAGTGGGAGGAATTAGGCAGCCACTGTTGTTATCAGTGGAAGTAATAGTGCCCCATCATTGGTGTCAGTGGAAGTATTAGTGTCTCATTGTTGGTGTCAGTGGGAGGCATAGTGCCCCAAGAGCCACATTAATGTAAGCAAAAGTGCAAATCTATGTCTCTCTAAATAATTAGCAGTTAGGGCATCAAATCATAAGTAGGGCACTTGACTGAAAAGCTCGGCATAGCACCCCAACCTCCACAGGCTCACAGCCTAGACTTCACCGAGTTCATACCCCCCTTGACGTGTTGGCTGAATACTTTTATCACAACCAATAGAGACCTTTAACACCCAGTTGTGGTCATATGACCGCCTGTACTGGGTGTCCCTCACCACAAACCCTCAATGGATGGAAAGCCACATTTTGTCAATGGAAAATGATCCGTATTTAAAAAGATTCACCTGTCCACTGTTGGCAAAGTCGTCTACGGTCAGCGAGGGGTCGAGTCGCAGGGCAATGCCGAAGTCGCACAGCGCACACGTGGAGTCACTTTTAACAAGGATGTTGGTGCTCTTGATATCCCGGTGAGCAATGGCGATCTTTGCTGTCCCACATGGCGTGTAATCGCTGTGCAGATGGGCCACACCATTGACGATGGAGCCCGCCATCTTTAACAAAGCTGACCAGCTGAGGAAGTGATTGGTCAGGTAGTCCTTCAGGTTGCCTTGGGATTGGTAGGCCGTGATGATCCAATACTCTTTCTGTAGGCTGCTGACTCGCTGTTCGGAGGTGATGAACTGCAGGACGTTCTGATGTTTCAGGTTGGCGTCAGTGAAAATGCGGCTCTCGTACTTCCAGGATGAATATTCCTGGAAGGGGAAGATCTTCACCGCTACGATCTCATGGTGACCAGATTCGGTGTGTTTTAGTTTGGCCCTCCACACTTCGGCAAACCGGCCTTTCCCGACGCGTTGGTCGAGCTCGATCGGCAGCAGCTCGGTGTTGTGGTTGATGCTGTTGGCACAAGCCGTACTTATCTCCCCCTGAGAGCCGGCGGTCAGTGAAGAGGACAGTCTGTAGCTGAACTTGGCCTTCTTGCCTTGTCGCGCGGCCCAATGGCGCCATTCCCAGCCTTGGTCGTCCATGACTTGCTCCTGGTCCTCAGTCGCTGGGTGCGGTATAGGTAGAATAAGGCAGTGATCATGACTGCCAGCACCAGAGGGGGGAGCAGGCTAATGGTGGCCACAGGAAGAGCCTCGTGGCTGTGCAGCATGGCGTACCCTGCGGAGAACAGGACAATTTTATAACGAAGCCGACAAATCACAAAAGATACGAACCCAAAAATCATTTACAGTTGCAAGAGTAAAAAGTATGTGAACCCTTGGGATTCCGTGGAGTTTTGCATGAATTGGGCATAAAATGTGCTCTGAACGTCATCTAAGTCACAACAATAGAAGGAACACAGTCTGCTGAACATAATACTACACACAAACATTAGATGTTGCCATGGTTTAATTGCACATAACATGTAAACACATTCACAGTGCAGGGAGGAAAAAGTATGTGAACCTTTGGACTTAATAACTGGTTGACCCTCCTTTGGCAGCAATACTGGTTAACCTCAACCAAACGTTTCCTGTAGTTGCAGATCAGACCTGCACAACGATCTGGAGTCATTTTGGACCACTCCTCTTCACAAAACTGTTTCAGTGTAGCAATATTCTTGGGATGTCTGGTGTGAATCGCCTCTCTTAAGGTCATGCAGACACAGCATTTCAATGGGGGTTGAGGTCAGGACTCTGACTGGGCCACTCCAGAAGGCGTTATTCTGTGCTGTTGCAGCCATTGTTTTGTTGAATTACTTGTATGCTTTGGGTTATTGTCCTGTTGCATCACCCATCCTCTGCGGAGCTTCAGTTGGCGGACAGATGGTCGTACGTTTTCCTGCCAAAACTCTGGAATTCATTTTCCCATCAATGACAACAATCCGTCCAGGCCCTGAGGCAGCAAAGCAGCCCCAAACCATGATGCTCCCTCCGCCATGTTTCACAGTGGGGATGAGGTTTTGATGTTGGTGTGCTGGGCCTTTTTTTCTCCACACATAGTGTTGTGTGTTCTTCCCAAACAACTCAATCTTGGTTTCATCTGTCCACAGTATATTCTGCCAGTAGTGATGTGGAACATCCAGGTGCTCTTTTGCAAACTTCAAACGTGCTGCAATATTCTTTTTGGGCAGCAATGGCTTCCTCCGTGGTGTCCTCCCATGTACTCCATTCTTGTTTCATGTTTTCCTTATTGTAGATGTGTCAACAAAAATGTTAGCATGTGCCAGAGATTTCTGTAGGTCTTTAGCTGACACTCTGGGATTCTTCTTTACCTCATGCAGCATTCTGCGCTGGGCTCTTGCAGTCATTTTTACAGGACGACCGCGCCTAGGGAGAGTAGCAACAGTGCTAAACTTTCTCCATTTGTAGACAGTCTGTCTTACCGTGGACACAGGAACATCAAGGCTCAAGGAGATACTTTTGTAACCCTTTCCAGCTTCATGCAAGTCAACAATTCTTGATGGTAGGTCTTCTGAGAGCTCTTTTCTGTGAGGCATCGTTCACATCAGACAGTGCTTCTTGAAACCAGTAAACCCAAAACAGGTGTCAGCAACACATCCAATATCATCCCACTGATTGGAGTCAAGGTTGGCTCACTCCTGGCTCCAATCAGCTCTGGGAGAAGTCATTAAGCTAGGGCCTCACATACTTTTTTCCTCCTGCACTGTGAATGTTTACATGTTATGTGCAATTAAACCATGGCAACATCTAATGTTTGTGTAGTATTATGTTCAGCAGACTGTGTTCTTCTATTGTTGTGACTTAGATGACGTTCAGAGCACATTTTATGCCCAATTCATGCAAAAACTCCACGTAATCCCAAGGGGTTCACATACTTTTTCTTGCAACTGTACAGTGTTGCAAAAATAGTATGAAAGCTCCAGACAGAAGATTTCATTATGGAACCTCCGTCAGATTTTGATCGATGACCTTGCGTTGGGGAGATTTTCCCTGACTTTCTGCCACAACTGGAAATGATAGGAAATCTCATGGGTGCCACAGAGAAACTCATTGTTGTAGAGGTGGGGGGGGGGGGGGGGGGGGGGTGAGAACCTTTGACAACTTTGGAAAACTACCTTCCTGTCCCGGTGACAACACAGGGGGGGGACTTGAGGCTTTACATATTTCTGGAGTTTTTCGGATGGAGCTCGGCCATGACTACACTTTGTTTTTCTGCAGATCCTATAAAATGAGGCGAGAAGGAACCGTTTCCCATCTCCTTCTCCCTGATCCATGATCTCAAAATACTCAACTCTCGTTCCTTTCATGTCCCCTATTCCTGGAAATGGCGCTTATTTCGGCACACATCTCCAGCTCGGCCGTCCCAGAGCCTCTGCCAAAATAAATAGGAGAGAGAGGAGCAGGGCAGCAAGGATGAGAGGCTCAGTGATCAGGGGAACGGGGGGCTCAGAACAGGGGGGGCATTGATGGACAGAAGGCTCAGTGATCAGGGGAATGGGGGGCTCAGAGCAAGGGGGCAGTAAGGACAGAAGGCTCAGTGATCAGGGGGAACGGGGGGGCTCAGAACAAGGGGGCAGTAAGGACAGAAGGATCAGTGATGAGGCAGAGAGGAAAGGAGGCTCAGAGAGAAAGGGTTGAAGTGAGGACAGGAGGCTTAGTGATCAGGGGGAATGGGGGGCTCAGAGCAAGGGGGCAGTGTGGACAGAAGGCTCAGTGATCAGGGGAACGGGGGGGCTCAGAACAAGGGGGCAGTAAGGACAGAAGGCTCAGTGATCAGGGGAACGGGGGGCTCATAGCAAGAGGGCAGTGAGGACAGAAGACTCAGTGATCAGGGGAACGGGGGGCTCAGAACAAGGGGGGCAGTGTGGACAGAAGGCTCAGTGATCAGGGGGAATGGGGGGCTGAGAGAAAGGGGGCAGTAAGGACAGAAGGCTCAGTGATCAGGGGAATGGGAGGCTCAGAGCAAGGGGGCAGTGTGGACAGAAGGCTCAGTGATCAGGGGAACGGGGGGCTCAGAGCAAGAGGGCAGTGTGAACAAGAAGCTCAGTGATGAGGAGGTAGGGAGGAAAGGAGGCTCAGAGAGCAAGGGGGAAGTGAGGACAGGAGGTTTCACTGATAAGGGGGGCAATGAGGACAGAAAGCTCAGAGAGCAAGGGGGCAGTGAGGACAAGAAGCTCAGTGAAAAGGGGGCAGGAAGGACAGGAGGCTCAGTGATCAGGGGGGCTCAAGCAAGGGGTCAGTAAGGACAAGAAGCTCAGTGATCAGGGGGGATAGGGTGGTCACAGTAGGGAGGATGGGGGCTCAGAGCCTAGAGGCAGGGGAGAATGGGGGGCTCAGAGCAGGCAGGATGGGAGACTCAGAGCAGGGAGAATGGGGGGCTCAGAGCAGGGAGAATGGGGGGCTCAGAGCAGGCAGGATGGGAGACTCACAGCAGGGAGGATGAGGGGCTCAGAGCCTAGAGGCAGGGAGAATGGGGGCTCAGAGCCTAGAGGCAGGGAGAATGGGGGCTCAGAGCAGGCAGGATGGGGGTTCAGAAAAGGGAGAATGGGAGGCTTAGAGCAGGGAGAATGGGGGGCTCAGAGCAGGGAGAATGGGGGGCTCAGAGCAGGGAAGGAGAGAGGAAAGGGGTTCAGAGCAGGGAGGATGGGGGATTCAGAGCAGGGAGGATGGGGGGCTCAGAGCATAGAGGGAGGGAGGATGGGGGGCTCAGAGCAGGCAGGATGGGAGACTCACAGCAGGGAGGATGAAGGGCTCAGAGCTAGAGGCAGGGGAGAATGGGGGCTCAGAGCCTAGAGGCAGGGAGAATGGGGGCTCAGAGCCTAGAGGCAGGGAGAATGGGGGCTCAGAGCCTAGAGGCAGGGAGAATGGGGGCTCAGAGCCTAGAGGCAGGGAGAATGGGGGCTCAGAGCAGGCAGGATGGGGGTTCAGAAAAGGGAGAATGGGAGGCTTAGAGCAGGGAGAATGGGGGGCTCAGAGCAGGGAGAATGGGGGGCTCAGAGCAGGGAAGGAGAGAGGAAAGGGGTTCAGAGCAGGGAGGATGGGGGGCTCAGAGCATAGAGGGAGGGAGGATGGGGGGCTCAGAGCATAGAGGGAGGGAGGATGGGGGGCTCAGAGCATAGAGGCAGGGAGAATGGGGGCTCAGAGCATAGAGGCAGGAAGGATGGGGGGCTCAGAGCAGGGAGGATGGGGGGCTCATAAAATAGGTGGGCGGTGAAGACAAGAGGCTCAGTGATCAAAAGGGGAGCAAGGTCAGGGGGCTCAGCACCTGAGTTCTCACAATTTGATGAAATTCCCTTTTATTTCTTAGGAATGGAACAGGATGAGTGAGACTCCCTCTCGTCATAGAGGCAGGTAGGAGGAGTTGTGAGCTCTCATTTGGATTCTACATTCGGTGGCTGAACAGAATCCACCCACAACTGAAAAGTCTGTATAGGGCCTAATGGCTGGAAATTTGAGGACGTTAAAGAGAACCTGTATTTATGGAAATATGGGGGGAGGGGGTCCTACATGTGCAGGATTGGAATTTAACATTGTCAGACATCACTGGCTGCATGCTTGTTCCAGGTCAGTAACACTAGGCGGCTCCTATGTCTATAGATTCCCTCTAGTCGTCGTTTATGGAATATTTTCTGGCACAGGAGACACACTGTGATGATGATAATGAGGAGGAGGAGAAAGGAGCAGAAGAAGGTGGAGGAGGAGGAGAAGGAGCAGAAGAAGGTGGAGGAGGAGGAGAAGGTGGAGGAGGAGGACAATGGGTCTTACTGATGATGTCCCAAGTGTCATCATTCTGGCAGCAAATCAGATTTCTGAACACATTGGAATATAAATCCTGATTGGTGGCCTTAAGATAATGCACATTGCTCTGACTGGGGGATGTAGCTTTCCTCAGAGGCTGGACCCAGAGCAGCTCCGCCCCCGCAGAGCCCTTACCATCCGATGCATTGTAGAAGATGAGTTTGTCGTTGCATTCCTGCTCGTCCACACAGCCGCAGATGTACAGACGGCCGGTCTCAGAGGGCATCGCCTGCATCACGCATCTGACCGAGTTATAGTTGGGCACCAGGGACGTTCTCCAA